ATTATTTGAACCTTTGTTAGATCAATATAAGACTGGAATTTCAGTTAAATTAGGAAATGGCAATAATAAAAAAGTCATCATCAAATTATCTTGTATAATTTCAGAAGCTTTACCTCGGCTAACAGATCTCCATGTAATGTATGATAATTACTCAACAATGGTGGAACAGTTTGTAGAATCTTAAGTTGTATTTCAACAACACCTTGTGACATTACGTCATTAAGTATTTTGAGAATCGTTTTAACAGAAGACTAATAAATGTACAATATTCTAAATCATGACATATCATGTAAAGCTAAATTCACACAATCAAGTATGAATAATTTCAAAAAAGAATCATTTGGAAATATCATAAACACACCTCTGATATTGCACGATGTGATATTAATTTGTGTAAGCATCCTATAGAAGTAGTAATTAACTTTACATGCTTTGTTTCACAAGCCAGAAGAAAAGGTCTAAGAAAGTCGGTATTTTTTGCCAATTCTTTTATATACACCAATATAAATTAATCAAATAACAAGGTTTTTTAATGAATCTTCCGATAAATAATCACTAATGACGTATAATTTTTATTATTATCACCTTGTGAAATATCCATGCCAGGTCGTTCTTTAAGTGTTCGTAAAATAATTAGTGATCTCTCTGCAGCCTTATGAAGATTCAATTAACGTTATGTTTCTTATAATTAGATGAATCAGTAATAAGTAAATAAGTACCTCTTTAATTTCAGGATGCTTGCGCCGTGCTTCATTTGAAAGTTGTAAGAGTTCAGTGTTAAGCGAGTTAGTTAGTCCACTCATGATTTCTATTGTCTTTATTATTGTTGCTGTTGTTTTTTTTGAATTGTTCTCTAGTATAGAAATGTTTAATTCAAAACTTCTCCTGATTTTTAAAGAAAGAATAAGAGGTTTTGTTGAAAATCTAAAAAATCTGTCAATCACAAACAAATTAAATAGTGGTTACCAAAATATTTAAATGAGTCCCATCACGTGATTTAGTGATCCGACTATTTTTATGGTAAACTTGAACTGAGTTTCTTAGATCTAAAGTATTACAATTCATTGTAACATTGTGTAAAGACTGAAAATAGAAAATAAAGCCAATATTGTTTCTCTATACAGTTGCATTTATCGGTCACACGTATCAATGCCCAGAGGGGAGGATTGAAGGTTGGAACCAATTATTATCATCGCCAATAGACACATCAAACGCATCAAAACGCACAAACTTGAGATGAAAGAGCCCATGGCAGTTGGTCATAACATCATATATGCAGATTTTTTAATTATTACACAAACGTTTTATCTGTTGTTGTCAAAATCGTCCTTAATATTAATGTTAACAGGAAATTTTATATAAGAACTTTAAACCATTGTAAAAATTTTTAATACTAAAATTAAAAAAACTCTCTGTCAGCTTATTCTTCAAGTTTTGGGGTAAATATTTTTACTCTAGCATGTTTGGTTATCGAGCCTATACATTTTAAATATGATGATGGGATGATTTTATTTGTCGTCAAAAATCGTCAAATCGTTATCCCTAAAAAGAAATTTTGTAACGTAAAAAATTTATACTGAAAAGGTACTTTTTTGATTCTGTATATAAGGTACGAAATTTGCAACATACTAAATATGAAAAGGTACGCTTTAATTCTGCATATAAGGTATTTTTAACATATTAGTACTAATACTGAAAAGGTTCTAGCACTAGTATGTTTTTGATTCGCGTATAATGTACGTAATGTGTAATATACTTGTATTTTTAACAGTTGTTTCAATCAAACCCGCCTATATAATTATTGAATAATTGATAAACATTCGTTTTGCAAGCTTCATAGATCTTGACTAACATTTGCTTCGATCAAACCCGCCTACACAATTATTGAATAATTGATAAACATTCGTTTTGCATGCTTCATAGATCTTACTTCGATAAAACCCGCCTATATAATTATTGAATAATTGATAAAAATTTGTTTTGCAAGCTTCATAGATCTTGACTAATACTTGCTTCGATCAAACCCGCCTATATAATTATTAAATATCACTTCTAGAAAGTCCTCATTTATTAGCACGTAAGTTGTATTATTTATCAATACAATGTTTAAAGATTATATCTTCAAAGCTATTTTTTTAGATATGAACGCCAGAGCATTGCTAGCAAGAATAGAAAAGGTGAGGACAAAACAGGTAGACAACCGTATATAATGTCTAAAGTACAATACAAGGGAAATGTTTATGAACTTATGTATTACGAGTGTTCGTGACTATTGTGCACTCCACAAAAGATGCTAATGATAAGGTAAAATTATGGCGGGAAGCAAATAATGGTTTGTATTGGGCTCGCAGAAAATGTAAACCAGAGAAGGAATTGTTGTGATTCAGGTTGCAGGTTCAGTAAATTTTTATATTTATCATATAGTCCGACATTTTCAATGATAGAAACTTTCATAGGACGTGAATTACACCTGAAGGTTCTTACAAGAAGTGTGGACGAAATTCATCGTTATATTCAGCTGAAATTCCAGTGAATCCAATGGGGGAGTATGATCTATCAAATTTTATAAAGGCTTTGTTGATTTTACGGGTTTGTTGCTTTATTCCACTTGCAAGACATCATTCTTTGAATAGGACACTTTGTGACAAAAAATCTAACACTATTATGAATTTATAGAATATTATTATTGTAAATGTGTCTCTGCTACATCACGCGCCAGAATCTACATCTAAGAGACAAATAGAAAAAAGTTCAATGGTATCGTCCTCATAGATTTTGAATAGATTTAATTTTATATTTACTTCTTTTTGTATTTTTTCCGTTAATAAAGCTACATAAATATTTGAAAAAAGTCAGATCTAATTCCATACATATTCGAAATTATTTACCTCTAAATACCTACATACCTCACCATAATCAAATATCGCCTTCACATCTTCCGTATTCTTATTTATGATAGTTATAAAATTTTCGTCAGTTCGGTGCATATGTATACTTATCCTTATTTTTATATTATGAACACTGTGTAGGATTCATAGTGTATTTGCCTTGAGTTCTGCGTTTGTTATTTTTGGATTTGCGAGACATATTTGACATATATATTAATACGGATAAATGATTTCAAATTTTCCGAATTAATCTTAGATAAACGTAATTTTACATAGAACCTTTATTTCATGAAATAAAAATTTTGCCGAAATGTCAAAAAAAAAATTATACCGTAGTTACATACTGCAGACGTAAATAAAAAAGATACATATCCACTATTACTAATGAGGTGGCTGGGTGTTCAATCGCACAATAATATGAACTTCAATATGAGGAGGGTAGGCTGGTTACGAAAATGTTCAGAAATTAATTGATCCGGAAACATATCATCACCATTATCACCATTCCCATTTTTATACAATGAAATTTTGCTGGCTAGTATATGTAGTTACATTATTATCAGCCTTACAAAGAAGGAAGAATATTCTCAAGCAAAGATGGCCACTGCTCCTTAATCATAGTTCTTAACTTGAAGTAATGAATCTGAAGATACCGATTGACTGATGGTAAAGCTAAATATCTTTCTAATTGGTCGAATTGATTAATTTCAAATTTAGGGAGATAATTATTGCCAGAAAAATAACTGTCATCATTTATAAAAAAAACTGCTGAAATTTGGTTTAAACGTTGAAATTTATCGGTTCCATGATTTAAATTTTGGATTAAACCATGGTAGACTCAATTGCGGTTCATCGAGCCAACCCTAGTTTTTTTCATTTACATCCGGAAAATATAAAATAATTTTTCCTGCCTCAATTGTAAGTTTAATAATAAAAAAGTGTAAAACTTACGTCGGCACTGTAAGATTTACACAATATTACGTCGGCATCGTAAGATTTATGCAAGTTTACGCTAAATTAATTTCCTGATGTAGTTAGTTATTGAATTAGATTATCTTTATTTTAGTTGTCATTTCTTGCTCAACCATTTGCTACCAATAACTTGTTTCAGTCCTTCGTTTCCTTTACCCTAATTCCAAAATTTGATTAAACAATTCATTTCTTCTTTGGACACTCTCGCCATCTAATTGTCTTTTATGTCAGTCACTAGTTACCTGAGCATGCACTTGTCCAATAGCTAATTCTTCTCTTAAAATTTTCAATATCTTGGTGAGCTAAATCTATATGCTCGCTTGCTTCATCTGGCCCACTTTGTTTCTCTGCTATTTTTCTTTGAAATAAATTTGCTCACTGCGTTTGCTCTTGCTCTTTTTATAAAGCCAAATATTAATTTTATGGGATTTTTAAGGCATGGATAGCTTTAACCAAAACAGATTGTAAACGATGTGTCATTTTTAATTTGATTTTGATCAACACCTTCTGGCTCTATTTCTGTTCCATCCAAACACCAAACTAAACCCGTGAAAACTTTCCTTTCAGATGCTTTCAATTTGTTAGCATAATTAGTTTCATCAGTTAAGTGTTGTTCCATGGCACAATATAGTTATCATGTTCATAACTTTAAATCTCTAGAGTGTTATCATCAGATCCATTTGAACTTTCTATTAACTCAAGATTTTCATTTATTTCTGAAGATGGATTATTATGAACTGGAAAATAGGTTGTAATCTTATTTGCACTAGCTGCTGCCTTTGCAAATAAGCCATTTGGGCCCCGTTATCATAAAATGTTGATTTTGGAACTTTACCTTTCATATATAAGCCTCTTTTCTTTTTTTCCAACTCATTATTGTCAGTCCAAGTCAATTCAAGTTTTGAACTAATCAGTCTATCTCTACATTTTTTCTCTTGTTCTAAATCTAAGTCATTTTCCCATCCACTGTCCTCATCATCGCCCCATTCATCTTCTTGCAGCTCAATTTCTTCCATATCATTATCCATAAATGTTTGAAAATTGCTTACCTCAACATCTTTTAATAAATTCAAATCAATTTCAACACCAGAATTAACTTATATATTGAGAGAACGTGTCTGTCCACTGATCATAAAAAATTTATCTGATAAACATGATTTTCCTCAGACAATGCGATTAATGCGAGTTGTATATATTTTAATTAGAAGATTCAATGACGTTTTGGTAAATAGTAATAATCGAAAAAAAAATTTAATAATTATTTTTTAATTTATATGTATTTATTTCTCTTTTTGTAGGTTATGGAATGTGAAATATTTTTATCTCTTTTTATAAAAATTCTTGATCCTGATAATCCATTGTGGCAACGTGTTATTTCAATGGAAATTTTTCGTGGCATATGTGTAGATGGTGAATTATTGCGTTCAATATATCGTAATTATGATAAGAGTAGTCATTCAACAAATGTATTTCATGATATGATTAATTCTTTTGGAAAACTGGCTGCTGAAAAACCTCAAACTTTGAGCACCGGGATACATTCATTTATAGGTAATTTACATCAAGGTAGAGAAAGCATAGATATTACTGGAATGGCAACTGCTGCAATAGGAAATTCTGTTCATGGTGAATATCCTTCTATGACTGTTGTAAATTCAACAATGAAAGTACAATGGTATGATGAAATTGAAAATTAATGGTGAAACAAAAATAATATACACCAGTTTTTTATTTTTGTATATTAATGTCTTTTTTTTTTTAAACAAACTATAGTATTGATCAATTGGATAAAATAGATCCACCTCAGATTCCTGACACATATCAACATTTTCTTGCACTTGTGTGTCTCAATTCTATAGCAGATGGTCTTCATAATTTTGTTTTTACGATATTTTCAGAAGTTCTCCAAAAACAACCAGATAAAGTATTGTTAGAACGTCAACTTTCTACATCAACTATTTCAGGGAATTCTACCCATTCTCAAGATTCTTCTATAAGAACACATGCAAGTCAACAACACGCGACTTTTAGTGCAACTACTTTGAAACAATTGGAGTCACATGCGTTATATAACGAAGTTCTCCTGGTCAAAGAGATAGCAAATACAGCATGGCCCGGTTTATTGGCTACGCAATCTTTCTTCCTTACAATAAATATTGACGATGAATTATTTCAAGGTGTTTTGCGAGCTTATCAGAATTTTACTATTGTATGTGGCATTCTGCAACTTACAACTCCTCGTGATGCTTTTTTAACCAGTTTGTGTAAAGGTGCTGTACCGCCTAATATAATCTCTGCTTTTTTGGCAGAAAGCAAAGCGATTCATACTGCTGGAACTACGACCAATCACGACAGCTCTTTTGGTGTTACATTATCAGATAGAAATTTATCATGTTTAAAAATACTTTTGAACATTGCACAATATCTCGGTGGAGTTTTGGGTGATTCATGGTATTTAGTGTTAGAAGTCTTGCATTTAGCTGATTTGATATTATTTCCAAAACATGGAAGAAGTGGATCCAGAAGTACTAGAAGATTAGGTTCTCAGAACACAGCATCATCATCTACAACTTCATTGGCCAATTCTTTAACACCTAGAAGTTCTTCATCATCTATTCATCAAACAACATCAACGGCACAAAATATAAAGCGAAATTCTACCGTTATCACATCCTCTCAAGATGCATCATCATTATCTAATAATCACTCTAACCAACTTTCAGCAATTGAAAATGATTTAAATATTTTATTGACACAGATTAAAAAATTATTTGATAATTGCAGGTTCCTTGAAGATGATGCATTGAAAGCTTTCACTAGATCTCTATGTAAGCTCAGTTTTGATACAATTGGAATACCATTTGATGGTAAAATTTTTTCATCGATATCATCGTCATCAGAAAATAAGACACCAAAATCAACTACACTTGGAATTTTAAAGGGGAATGTAAGGATTCTTCTATTAATCTTTGATATGATATTATTTATTATTTATTTTTTCTTTATTATTGTTATTTACAGAGGTCAGATGAAAGATCATTTGCAATCGATAAATTACGTTCAGTAGCACTATTAAATATAAATAGAGTAATTGTTCAGGAGCCTTCTCTTATATGGGACCTAATTATTTCACATCTAATCATCATAGCAAATTATATTTCAACTCCACAGCTAATCCGTTTGCAAGCTTGTGAAACTTTAGCAGACATTGTTATTTCATCAATGAATTATGCAGAATCTGTACAAATGGAAAATGATGAGCGAATTCAAATGCAATTACTTCTTGCCATTAATCAATTAGTTAATAATTTAGAAAGAAATCCTCAAACAAATAATAAAGGATTTTACATTGAAGTTCAAAAAATGGGTTTGGAAACATTAAATAAATTATTGCAGAATTCAGGACATTCATTCACTTACGGATGGGGAATGATTTTTGATATGATTAAAAGTGTATGTACAATTAATTTAACTCCATTAGAAAATGACGAAGATGAAAGCTGCACAGCCAGTTTAGATAACATTACCATGGCAGATAACTCAGCCCTTGGTATTTCTAATGTCAAATCATCTGGTTTGATTCGTGTGGCATTTCCTTGTTTGCAGCTAATTTGTTCGGACTTTTTATCGTTGCTTTCACCCGAGTGTTTGAAGCAATGTATAAATACATTAGGCGCATTTGGTTTACAGGTGGATGATTTAAATATTAGCTTAACAGCCGTGACATTATTATGGAACATTTCTGACTTTATACAGACCAAAAAATCAGAACTGCTAAAAACCCAAGAAGATCAAGATGAATGTTTTGGAAAAATTGAAAATGAAAATATTGAACAGATAATAGAAAATATCATTCAAGGGGAGCTGAGTAAAAATACTATGAATGCTCTTTGGATGTTATTATTGTTACGACTTGCAAAGATTTGCTCGGATGTTCGATTTGAAGTAAGGAACGGTGCAAATCAAACTTTATTCCGTACTATAGATATGAATGGGTCCTTATTAGGGACTCAGATATGGCGTGCGTGTATTTGGCAAGTTTTGTTTCCTTTGTTAAATTCGGTTAAACATGCATCTGAAAAAGCTGTTAAAGTCATGAATCAACAAAATCATGATGCTTTGAATGATAAACTTTCACCATCACAAAAAGAATTTACTGGTTTTATGATACATCATTCCCGTAATACTGCAGATAAACAATGGGATGAAACAAAAGTTCTGGTATTAAGTGGTATATCTGGTATTTTTAAAAACTTTATACATATTCTGGTAAATTTAGATGATTTTAATCAAGCTTGGAGTTTTTTCCTTTCGCATTTACAAGATTCTTGTCTACATTTTAGTCATGAAGTAGCCATTTCGGCTATTAAATCATTACACACTATGATTCAATTTACAAATGATGATGTTCATAATGGTGAATTGAAAGAAATAATTTTTCCATTGTGGCAAACTGCATGGGAAACATGGGAAAGAATTGGTTTAGCTATTATCACAAACTCAAACCACGATAGTAACAAGAAAAAAATAGAAACTGTTGAAACATCATCCAAAGTAGTCTCGTCAAAATTCGACCAAGATACCCTCACGGCATTTATTTTGACTTTTATCGATTTATACAATGTGATTCGGACTGATTTTGAGATTAGTAAAATAAAAAGATTATTAGAAATCACTTATGGGATTTTGACTTACCCCTATAGTCCTTCATACAGACCTGATTATGATTATCTAACTCCTTTGCAAGAAGCAGTTTTGGAAGTAATCAATAAATTAGATCTAAATGAATCAGGTGCTCCTGCAGCAGTTTTAAGTAGTTTAGCAGATTATGCGACATTGGCATTTTTGGGAAAATATAAAGAAGAAAATGGTCATAATAAAAATATTAAAGAGGATATTGGATCTTTTGTACAAACCACCACTGTTATTAATACTAATACTACTTCTGCTATCACCAACAGCAATACTACTTCATTTAAAGAAGGAATGTTTTCCAAAAAATCTTATGAAACAATTACTTATATTGTATTTTCTAAAACTGTGATGCGTACTATTAAAGTTCTGTTCAATAAATTTAATAATGATAAAGGAATATATTCAGAAGGAGTATTTGCAAAAATTATTTGGGTATGAATTGACCATTTTTTCTTTTGAATTTTATAATAACCCCATATATTTCCAAGGTAAAATAAAGTAATAATAATGATAATATAATTTTCATTCGATTATTCTATTTTAATTTATTAATAATAATAAAAATATAAAAATATTTAGGTAATAATTAATATTGATAATCCAAAGTATCCATTAGTTGATGATCCTGAATTGGATAATTTTCAAAAGCAACATAATATTTTAAAATATGTTTGGCAAAGCAATTTCTCTTCTCCTGTTGAGCCCACTTTAAAATCTGGTGGAAAAGCCCTCGATGTTGGGTAATTAATTATAATAATTTAATCTAGCAATTGATGTTAACGGTTGATAGAATCAAATAACAATGGTTGATAGAATTAATAATTAGAAATTTTTTTTTAAATTCTTGCTGATTAATCAATTTGATTTGATAATTTAGATGCAGTGTTGGCATCTGGGCTGCAGATGTAGGTCAAGAATATCCTTCAGCCAGTATCACGGGTGTTGACATAGTACCTGATTTTCCCAAAGATCATCCTTCCAATGTGAAATTTGAAAAGGCCGATGTGCTAAAAGGGTTACCGTTTGAAGACAATAGTTTTGACTTGGTTCATCAAAAGTTTGGAGCCTTCGCGTTCACCGAACAACAATTTAAAGATAAGATTATCGATGAATATGTCAGAATCACAAAGCCCGGTGGTTGGATTGAACTGATGGTATTTGTTGTTATCATCTTTTTATCACATATATATTCATTCCACATATAAATAATATTTGTTTTTCCTCCAATTACTAGGAATTTGACCAAACAGTTGTTAATCCTGGCGAAACTTATAAAAAATTTCAAACAGCCGGTAAGTTCACTATGAACACATTTTATATTTTTCAATTTTTATTTATTTAAATTTGTAAATTTTTTAGCTCATGCCGCTACTTCTCACGGAGGACTCAATCCTGTTCCAAGTTCGTTTCTTCCTAAGTTGGTTGAATCTAACAAAGATTTGACCAACTACAAGTTCATAGAACATCAACATCCAATTGGTAAATGGGGAGGAAAACTTGGTGAATTGGTAAGTAAATAATCAAATATATATATACATGTTCTTTTTTTCTAGGTCTAATTATCATTATTATTATGTTTTCGCGTCTCTTAGACACTTAATGATTGGCTTGAGGTTTACAATGTTCATAAACCGACTTTAACTAGTGTGATGAATTGTTCCAGCGATGAGTATTCTGATATGCTAACACAATTTTCCAAAGAAATCGACGAACAAAAAACTTGTTGGGTAACTTATAGAATTTTTGCTCAAAAAAAATAAATTAATAATCAATTAATTAATACTTGTATAATTACGCCTGACTATATATATATCTCAATAGTAAATATAATTATATTATCATTATCATTATTAAAATTTGTTTGTTTTGAATGCCAGTTTAACGGATGATTACCAAAGATGTGGTTCGTGCTACGCTGTAACCACAAAAGGAATGAATGTACAGGAGCACTTTTTTCTTTTGTTTTTCCGTTGTGCTCCTTTATACTACGCGGAGAAATACGAGATCAGAACTTGTTTGTCAGACGATTAATTTAGTTAATATATATATGTTGATATTAAATTACGTCAAAAAAAATAACCCGTCAATTTATTAAAAATTACAAAGCGATCGCCGTTCTCCTTTAGATGGTTTTATATGTTGTGTGATTGTGTTTAAGATTGATGTGAAATTTCGTGATCTTTTTTCTGCGAATGCTCACGCCTTCCCCATAACAAGTAATAGTGACCAAAACATTTCTTTACAAGAAATTTCCAGTTTTAGTGATGCATATATTTGTATATGGATATGGATATTGGCATAGAGGGAGAGATTGTGTTGGAATCCTATTGTGTTAATTTAAATGAATGAATTAATAAATGAAGTAAGCAAGTAAGTAATAATAATGAATTTTCCCGTTCTTTTTGGTAAATACATTACCATTACAATAAATAAGATTATAGTCATCTAATAAATAAATAGATTAAAAAATTATTTTAAATAAGCCCAACCGAAAGTAGACCCATGTAACCCCCCCCCCCGCAGTAGGCATACAGTCTAAAATAAAAAAAGCTTAACTTAATTTGACCATCCAATAATAATGGATAATGTAATAATGTAACCATTTTAAGACATCCGTCCAATATAGCAAAAAAAAAAAAAATAAAAATCGTTTTATAAATTAAATGGTCTTTATTATTATCGCTTTCTTCTTCAATCAAGAAGAAAACACAATAACAATAATAAATTAAATTTTCCAATTTCGATATGCTTATTAGAATTTTATTATAATATAATAAATTAAACTAAATTTTAAAATTTAAATAAGAAAGTTATTTACAACAAAACCCCGTCTTTAATAATAATAATAATAATAATAATAAAATAAATAATAATAATAATATTAAGCAGATTTTGATTGTAATAAACATATTTGACAACAAATATATAAATAATCAACTTACTATAAGATGCCTCCAACACAAATCCAATCTAATTCAGTAATAAATTCACACAATATTAATAACAATCATCAAGTTGACTTTCCTGTTGACTCCATTATAAGCGAACCTAAACTCTATGTAAGTGACTTACAATTTAGTATCACTGAAAATGAACTTCGTGACTTATTTGAGGACATTCAACCCACAAGGTTAGTT